TGAATCGATTTTGATGATTCTATTTTTATTTGAAATCTGGTGCTTCTCATACGGTCCGTCCCATATAAATTTGATCAAGATCTGACCAATAGTTTTGGAGTTATCCTTAATAATGCGTATTAATATATAATTTTCTACGTGGTAGAGCAATGCTGCAGCTATATTAGTAGTATAGTTGTAGCACGAATGGGTCGGCTCGACCGGGGAAGGACCACGCTCTCACAGAATACCAGCATAAAATAACACTTAACAGCTTAAGACTGCTGTTTCGTATGGTGAGTGTAGAGAACCGGAAACCCTTTTTACTGGAAAAGGGGCATTTCATCTTAGTCCTCATCTGCATTTTGATTCTTTATTGAAGATAGATTTAGATGTCTATGGGTCACAGCAACCACTTACCATCAGGTTGACTGTGTGCTCGTTTGTCACCCAATCCTATAAAAAAAAAATTGAAGTCGGTTGTACAAAATTTTTAATTTTATTACTTGTGTCTTTTCCTCTCTTTTTAAGAAACGTTACCTCCACACTAAGATTTTCTCACACAGTTTACATACATAGAACAGACCCAGAACAATTATTTGTAGGTCATACAAATACCTGTTCCGTCCGGGATTCGAACCCGCGGCCCTTACCGCTGCAACTCATTACTAAGCCACTGCGCCACGGAGCCGTCACTTGTCTGTTTCACAGTGTTTGCTATTTACAAACATGCGACACGTGACTTCATTATTAATGAAAGAGCGGCAATGAGAAGTGCTGCTACTTTCAATCTTTCTTTTATCGACCAAGTATTAAACTATTAACCAGTATATTCTGATCTTGCATTAGTAGGCAGTCACTAGTAGTGGGAGGTATAGGTACACTAACGATTTTTTAAGGTCATTGGTTCTCATTCTCTTTGCAACATCTTATTTATGTGAAGCTTATTTTCGGCTGTAGCTGTAATAAAGAGCAAATTTCGCTTAAAGATCAATGTAGAACAAGAAATGAGAAACGCGGTGTCAAACCTTATTTCACGCTTAGAAAAAAAGTGTGGAGATAACCAAGCTCACACGTCACCTGCTGTTTCGTATGGTGAGTGTAGAGAACCGGAGACACATTTTACTCGAAAAGAGGCGTTCCATCTTAGTCCTCACGGATGACGACGCATCTGCATTTTAATTCACAAACTAAGATAGATGTAGATGTCTATGGGCCACAGCAATCACTTACCATCAGGTGAACTGTGTACTCGTTTGTCACACTATCCTATAAAAAAAAATTAATTAACGATTTTAGAAAGTCAACTATAGACTAAACCTGCAAAGTATTTCACCTCTGGTATTAATGATATGGTTTACATATACCCCATATTTATGATCTCATTAATAGATATCTACGTAGTATATAACAGTTGCTTCCCGTCTTCTGTACGCTTAGATCTTTTAAACTACAAACGGATTTTGATGTAGTTTTCATATATATAGTATAATACATGCATAAGAATCAGAAGCTTTGCATTTTACTAGCTTTTCCCATGGCTGCCCCTAAAATATGATGATAGATTCTCTTACGAGCAAACAAGTTTAGTTATAATTATTAGTCATGTTTTATGCCACAACCAATGCCAGTCAATCTTTTAATGAAACAAAAACAATTATAAAAACCTATTTATTTTCTTAATATGTATTTTTCTTGAAAATGTGAATGATTTATTATTAATTATTATTACAGAAAAATGTTTTTACTAAATTCAACTAAAGCCCTTAATATGGTTTGTCAATTACATTTAACTTAAAATTTCTTCATTGAGTGGCGGCAAACATTTTATTTCAAAACATCAACTTAAGTCACATATTTATGAAAAATTAAAAACGTTTAAAAAAAATAAATACATACATGTTTATATAATTTATTTTAGTACTTTTAAACATCAAATAGTGCTTAAAGAAGTCATTTATTTTTAAACATTATTACATCCGAAGACATAATACTCGTATGCTATAATTAAATAAGTAATTCCAAATTTAAAGTTTAATTAAAGCGGATTTAATAAACCAAATACATTCGCAGCGATTAAACTTGTATGTATGTGAAACAGTAAGGAATTCGAGACTTAAAAGAAGACACTTAACTAACATACACTTTGGAACTATTAGTTATAATGTTAAACCATAATCAAATAATAGTGTTCACACTTACATGCTACAGACACAAAGTGCACTTAATTTGTCCATCTTAGCTTATAACTTAAAATAACTAAATGATTTTTCTTATTTTTTTCGGATAGTGATTTTGGAAAATCTGAATTTAAAATAAAAAAAACTTTCTTTCATCTTTTTATATATTTGCTCAAATAGTATAATTAAACCAAAGTCTCAAACGGTCAAATATGTCACAAATGAATCAACTACCTATAAGAACTAGGAATCAACAATATGAAATTCTATACCTCAAATCAATCAATGCATAATTATAAATTTAAAAAATTTGAGAGTTATAAAATAACTAACAATTGGTCATAATTGCGTTGAGATGCTACTTCTGACATACAGGGTACTTGTACACTGTGGCAGGTGTTGCCAGATACATAGTGATTTAATAGCCATTTTACTTTTGGATTTATAGCGGAACAATATTTTACAAATATTATTTTACTAAAGGATTAATATATTTCTCTTATTTTACTTATCAATAAAAATATTTTATTTTTAAAAATAATGTGTTACATTTATGAATGTTTCATCCATCAATTTATTGAATTACCAAAATACTTTCACTGTACGAAGGTATTTTACACTTTTACTAAGTTAGCACTTTTACTTACATAGTACTTTCATGTGCACTACCTATCGGTGAGTGCATTAAAGGCTTTTGTATCAATCAGCCGTTTACTTCATCGTATTATAGTATCGTCATCAACGTCATCATAGATTATTAAGTGTGGGAATTATTACCCCACATTACCATTTACAAAATACAATTTTAATTAAAACATACTTTTATACAAGAATGCAAATATGAATTTTAATCTCATCAAAGGAAAGATACTTGATTTAAGTTACCTTCTAAAAACCGTTTAGTTACTAAACACGGTTTACATAGCTTACACACATATTTATTTGTTGTTTGATAAAGATTAACACAATATTTTGACTGGGTCATGAGATTAAAATTATTGTTCAATTTCTACTTACGCATTACATATTAAAATTAAAGGCAACAATTAACTATGGAACCTTTTCAGCTGCCTATGAGACAAACTGGATTATTAACACCTACTTACCCATTTCAAGCGTCTGTGTTCCAAATTGGTGGTGTGGTGAGCCAGTATAAAAAATTACAAAGTGAATCATTTTATATTAGTCCCAGAGTGTAAATGCTTCAACCTTCTTTGTTTGAAGTTGATTACAGGTGTCATCTGGCTCCAGAAACTACTATCAGAAGAGGAGCCTAGTACTATAATTGTGCTCGTTGTAATGTTTAAATATCAAACGGAACAAGTATTTGTATGGCCTAGAAATAATTGTTTCGAGTTTGGATATTTGTCCTTGTGCAATATGTATGTAAACTGCATCCACAATACAAGAAAAGATCCTAGTGTTTAAAGTTAAAAAGGCTGTAAAAAAAACTCCGGTCCATATAACAAAAGCCGACGAAAGATTAAAAAAAATATTGTTACTTTTCTTAGATCCTTTTATTTAAAAATTATCAGAAAAGAAAGCTTTTTTTTCGTAATCAAATTAAATACAATTAATATATATCAAAATCATAAAAATGATCATACTTCTATATTTTAATATATTTTGCAAAATTTCATTTAGTATTAATGACAATAATCATAGTCGTTATAGAGTTGCTTAAGCAAAGCGACAAACAAAGAGAGATCTTTATAAAATCGAGTTGACAAAGAATCACTTTTTATACCGTCCAACACTGACATAAAATGAATACTTACATTAAGTCAAACTAATTTTTATGAATTTTTTGTTCTTTCTACGTAGATCGAACCAGAAATGTTCTGTCGGCCGAGCGGCCAACGTTCCGTGCATTATTTCGGAGCTATTCTATATTTAGCGCGTTAACTTCGACACTTTGATAGCGCGATTTAGGCTTCGGGTGCGTTTCGCTTGAGGCGCGAAGACAGCGCCGCCACAAGCAAACTAAATAGCACTTCCTCAACTGAGTCGTACGTTATTCTTCAAAATGTATAACGAACAGAATATGTAAGATCAAACTATTTAAATTAATAAAGTTAAATTAAATCAATTACTGTTTTGTTATTAATTCCGCTTGAATAATTTTAGATTCAAGTGTAGATTACATTTTTATTAACTCTTTTTTTGATAGTTCGATACAAACTTTGCATCTGATTTTATTCAATGAGCTAGATAGATACCTACCTGAAACTTAAAAAAAAAGCTCAAACTGGATGACAATGCAATATAAAATCACTGCCAGCAAAATCAGTTTGTATTATTCGCGTAAATAAAGCAAATCATTATGTAGAGGTACTACATAAAAATAATCTGGAAAAATGCATTTCCAAGATTACTTTATGGGTTTGTTGTTTTAGTTTATTTTCTTACCAAATTTATGACATACTTCTTATAACTATATAATAAGTAATCTCTTTTGCAAACACAGAAGCACTTTGTGCCACTCGCCATTTTTGTTACATCATGTCTTTATTATGTCCAAGGTAACAGAGATACAGGCTTAACAAAACGTTTAGAGCAGTGAAACAATCAATTTATTAAGCATATACTATTATTTATTAAGCATAAGCAGTTGCTCTTAGACTGTGTTTTACCTACATGTTTACACATTGTGAGGCATTTCAACTCAGTCATCGTGGAATTCAGACTTATTTAGATAGACTTCAGTTGTCAATGAATAATAAAAAAATAGGTTACTGTAATATTATAAGGTGATTTTTTTTTCACTATATATCTTTAACGAACTTAAGATTAACGGTCCCCGTAGCCAGAAGTAAAACATCCCTTTAACAGATCACGTGATCAGAATCTAGCCCTTATGTATACAGCAGCAACGTCGTGATTCGCATAGCCGAGTCGCTTCGCGTGCTTGAAGATTTCGTTAGTTGTTGCGGTTAGAGGTAGTGATTGTTCTAGGGCGTCTCCAAGACCTAGCGCCAGCTTCAGGTCCTTCTGCATATGTGTGAGCGGCTGGTGGGTGGAGTATGATGATTCGATCATTGCTGTCGATAGAGAAAGAATATTGTGAGAGCACGTGTTCAGAACTCATTTATTTATGATTCAAAATAAATGGTAATAACTAAAATTTATCACATCTTTTGCTGAACGTTGGTTCCACAAACGACGACAAATATGGCGTAGAGCTAAGATAAAGCTCACTCGATTGAGTAGGGTCGGCAAGCAAATTTTGTTCGCACTGCAACATAATGTCATAAAACAATTGAATATTTACAATTTGTAATAATTTATAAATGTTCAATTATTTTAGTCAATTTTTTTTATAAGAAGAGGGGGCAAAACGAGTATGCGGCTCACCTGATGGTAAGTGACTACCGCCGCCCATTAACAACTGCCAATACCAAGGGAATCGTAGGTGCGTTGCCGGCCTTTATTTAAGTCTACAAATATTTTTTTTTACCTAGCTTCTTAATCATTTACATAATTTACAATTATTTTGTAATGTTGCAGTGCCATCAAATTTGTATGCAGACCCTAATTAATCTATACAAATAAATAAAATTGAAGTGTCTGTTTGTAATGTCAAAATAAGATCTTTTTACTAAATGGATATGAAAGTATATACGGGTACTTATAACAAAAACACAATTTTAAAATGTTTGTCTCTCTGTCTGTCTGTCTATTTGTTCCGGCTAATCTCCGAAACGGCTGGACCGATTACAACGGGACTTTCACTGGCAGATAGCTGGTGTTATAAGGAGTAACTTAGGCTACTTATATTTTAGAAAAATGATGAGGGTTCCGCGTAATATAATTAAAACCCTAAATTACACGCGGGCGAAGTCGCTGGGGACAGCTAGAACTTAATAAATAGCTTTAAAAGATACACTCCATTTCATATAAAAAATCAATTACTACATCGTTGTTTCGTAATTTTTTTATTTCATGGAAAACATCTGCCAGCCGTTTTAATTTGTACCTAGAAATGGACTAAAAATAAAATATTATATGCTTTTTAACGAAATAAACAGCTTATAATTATTATGTGATATTTTTGTTTTCAATACCGTACTCAATTATTAAATAAAATTAGTTAATCCTTTGTATGGCCAACAAAAAAAATTAAAATCCGCTAAAAGAACATACGTGATTAACGTAAAAACTGACTCGTAGGGAAGTCTACAGCTTATGTACATAATATTATGTTAAGATCCTACGAGGGCGACACTGAAAGTTTTTAGAGCTAGCCACTTGTAAACCATATAATAAAAAATAAGTAGAAACAGACACTTCAATGTTATATATTTGTATAGAATTTTTCTAAAAAATAGGTAGCCTAAGTTACTTCTTGTGACATCAGATATCTGCCAGTGAAAGTCCCGTCGAAATCGGTCCAGCCGTTTTGGAGTTTAGTTAACAAACAGACAGACAAAAACTTTAAAACTTGTATTTTTGTTATTAGTACCGAATATACTCTCATATGCATTTAGTATAAAGCTGTAATTTTGGCATTACAAACAGACACTTCAATTTTATTTATTTGTATAGATAAAAGCTTGAAGATATCTGCTTCAAATTGAGTTGCAAGATTCCACCCGAACAAACATAGTTACATTGTAAGTTCAATAAAAGCTTTTAAAAACAGTTACTGCAGAGTGGTACACTAACAATTCGTCGTTGACGCCGCAAAAGGGCGAACCTCAATTTTTCCAAAAATTATGGGAGAGCAAGAAAACATTACTTATTCCCCGATTACTAGCTTTCTTCATCAGAAAATTAATCTTATTTGTAGTTTTCCATTAAGTTTTCAATGATGTAAATGGACACTATTTTGAATATAGATATATTTAAACTAATAACTTGCTAGTTTGTTAAATTTTTGATTTTCTAAGAACTTTCAAGTGTCACTCTCGTATATGGCACTTAACAGAATTCTTGCCAAAGACCAACCAGTTTTGTGGATATTTCTTTAGGTTGATCGGATTTCAAATACCAAGGTATTAACAACAACATGAAGTTGTTATGGTCTTTGAGGGTTCTATCGGGGACCAATCCTAGGTTGTCGGGGAGGTGGGGAGGCGGGGAGGCGGGGCAGTGTGCAGTGCGTACCTCTGCCCTTGAGGATGAGGTGCGGCGAGGCGAGCGGCGTGAGCGCCAGCACGTCGAGCAGGTCGGCCTGGCTGAGGCCGGCGCGGTCGGCCAGCGCCAGGCCCTCGGCCAGCGCGGCCAGCGACACGCCGCCCACCACCTGCAGCACGGCGTTCATCTTCGACGCGTTGCCGATGTCGCCTGCGGAACCACCGTTCTGCTCAACATCTTTCGTTTGCAAGTATACCTCAAGCCCACAGCACACAACAAGTGCAATGGCTAATGGGACCCCTCCACACGTTCACAAATATCGATACCTCCTATGTATTGAGGCGTAAGCAACTTTTCTGACGATAAGCGTTGTGCTATTGTCTCATGCGAGGACTAATTAGCGTGAGTTTACGAACGTGGTAGAGCCATGCTGCAGCTATATTAGTGGTATAGTTGTAGCACGAATGGGTCAGCTCGACCGGGGAAGGACCACGCTCTCACAGAATACCAGCGGAAAATAATAACTTAACGCTGCTGTGTTTCGTATGGGGAGTGTAGAGAACCAGAGATCTTTTTACTGAGACCAAGGCATTCCATCTTAGTCCTCACGGGTGACTGTAGGAGAGGATAGATGTAGATGTCTACGGGCTCGTATCGTATGCTCGTTTGTCTCCCTATTCCGATTTAAAAAAAAAACGATATAAGATACAGGTAACACGTGTCATCTATATTGTCACCTATATCATAAAATTAAAAGCAGTTTCGATGTCTTGGGTTATACCTATTTAAGATTGTATTTTTGTGTTATTAAAAAAATGAGTAACATACGATCGGCAAAAAATTTGAAATTAGCCTTAGATCCCGATGAAAATAATAACCTCCAATAAACTTATTTAACCTGATGATTGTTCTGTTTAATTATTATTTACTGTTTTTCGAATTTATAAATAGAATTATATCGTAACATAAAGTAATTATATTAATTTCACTATTACATTAAAGAGCATTTTTATAAATTGCAAAATTAACTAAGTCAGGCGCATATCGCCTTAACGCAGTAGTTGTGGTTATACAGGATAGAAGACGACGTCAAGTCGGAATCGGGTGACAAGTCAAGTCATAATAGTTAACAGAAATATATAATGAAAAAATTAAAAATTACAAACATTTATAAAAAAAAAATAGAAAAAATCGAGAACAACCTGTCGACGGTCTTGTTGCTACAAATTTTAACTTTTTTAATTTTCTATTTATTATGTAATCCTGAATAATGCTTCTGAAAACTGCTGCTTAAAATTTACAGCCAACTGCTCCAGTCCAGAAGGAAATGTAATTTGTTTCCCAACCAAGTATTCTAAATTGATACTTTGCCCAGTTTTAAATTACTGTACTGAAAAAAAATTACTACACGAGTTTGGCAAGTAACTTTAAAAGTTGACGCATTTAATAAGGATTCCAAAATTGTACCAAAACCTTTTTTAAAAGAAACCCAGTTGTAAATTAATTTTCTTTACCTACCTAAAATGATTTTTGTGTACCCCAAGGCTTTCCTCATGTCTGTTACTTAAGATTCTAGTTTGAGTGAAACGGAGGGAACCAGTGGACAAAGTGTGACAAAGAAGGAGAGAGTAATTTTACGTAGTTTGAGCGAAACATTTAGCGACGCTACTTTTTCGCTGTCGCACACACAATTTCAGTACGTTATGCTCTTCGTTTATTGGACTTGGTTGTGGCGGGTAAGAGACTACCCCATATCTACCCGTGGGTGTCGTAAAACGCGACAGAGGGAAACTAAGGCAGAAGATGGGCAGCAGCATCTATCTGATAACAGCAAAGAGCGATAAAAAACTGCGGTTGCGGCTCGCAAAGCGTGGCAACTATGGCAATTTACCCCCCATGAGCAATGACACTAATAAATGGCCCCCAGTCCCCGGTGGCCACGCTATTCCTGGCTACGGTGACGACCATGGTAACGGCGGGGCAGGGGGTGCTAAGAATCTCCGGTGGAGGTTTGGTTGCCATCTACGACGACTCGATCTGGCAACCTATAATACACGCACCCTGAGGACTGACGTGAAGATCCTGGAGCTGGAAAAAGAGATAGACAAGTTGCGCGGGAATACTATAGGATTATCCGAGGTCCGAAGAGAGGGGGAGGACACGGTAATCCTCAAATCCGGCAACATATTCTATCACCGGGAGGGCAACCATCTGTCCCAAGGAGGATGTTTGGGTTTTATCGTTCACAAGTCTCTCGTTAACAACGTTGTAAAGATTGGGATTGTGTCGACGAGGGTTGCGTACCTTATACTCAGAATCATGAAACGGTATTCGCTGACGGTCACACAGGTTTACGCACCAACCTCGGCACATCTCGATGAGGAGGTGCAGGAAAAGTATGAGGATATCTCTAGAGCCATGCATTCCTTCAATACCCAATATACGGTGTTAATGGGAGATTTCAATGAAAAACTAGGCATAAGAGAGAACGGTGAGCTGAAAGTAGGGAAATTTGGAATAGGGCAACGGAACCCAAGGGGCCAGCAGCTGGCCGACTTCATGGAGAAAGAGGGACTCTTTATGATGAACTCTTTCTTCCAGAAGCGGCCACACAGGAAGTGGACCTGGTCGAGCCCCGACGGTTCGACCAAAAATGAGATTGACTTCATTATGACGACCAGACGACGATTGACTTCATTATGACGACCACACGACAACTGTTCAGTGATGTCTCCGTGATCGCGAGGGTGAAAACTGGTAGCGATCACCGAATGGTTAGAGGCACACTGAACCTAAACGTTAAGTTGGAGAAGTCTCGTCTAATGAAGTCAACGCTCAGTCACCCCCGTGCTCTGTTCCAAAGTCCCGAAACCTTTCAGCTCGAGTTACAAAACCGTTTTCACCCGCCGCAGAAGATCACAAAAACTCTCCGATCACACTCTTAATCTCATGGCTGTTAGACGGGAGATGAAGCTACATTCTTTAACAGATTTGACAGCATACAGGCAACTGAACAGACAGATCTCCAAATGCATGCGGCGGGACTTACGCAACTTCAATACAACTTGTATTGAAGAAGCGATCGAGCTAAACCAAGGCTCCAAAGTCTTTGCCAGAGATCTGTGTGCCAGAAAGAGCCAACTGTCAAAGCTGAAGACCGAATGTGGCAGCATCGTTTCCGGGACACCTGAGATTTTGAGTGAGATTCAGAGGTTCTATGGGCAGCTGTATACGTCATCGTTGGAGCCACACGCAAGTGTGAGTAACGATCCAAGAGCGAGTCTTATCCGACACTATTCCGAAGATATCCCGGACGTCAGTCTGAGCGAGATTAGAATGGCTCTCCAGCACCTTAAAAACGGCAAGGCCCCAGGCGAGGATGGAATTACAGCGGAGCTTCTGAAAGCGGGTGGAAGACCGGTACTTGAAGTCCTTCAGAAGCTCTTTAATTCCGTCCTCCATGGTGGCATTACACCGGAGGCGTGGAGCAGAAGTGCGGTGGTCTTATTCTTCAAGAAAGGTGACAACGCTCTCTTGAAAAACTACAGACCGATTTCCCTTCTGAGCCGCGTCTACGTGCTGTTTTCAAGAGTTATTACGAATCGTCTCGCGCGCAGACTTGACGACTTCCAGCCTCCCGAACAAACCGGTTTCCGAAAGCGCTTTAGCACCATAGACCACATACATACCCTTCGGCAAATTGTACAGAAGCCCGAAGAGTACAATTTGCCACTATGTGTGGCGTATGTGGACTATGATAAATATAAAGCCTTTGATTCCGTCGAAATTTGGGCGGTGTTGCAGTCCCTTCAGCGGTGCCAAATTGACTGTCGGTATATCGAAGTGCTGAAGTGTTTGTACAGTAGAGCTACGATGGCTATCCGAGTACAGAACCAGAGTACGTAAACCTATCCAATTGCAGAGAGGTGTAAGGACAGGGTGATGTTATATCCCCGAAACTCTTCACCGCTGCATTGGAAGACGTTTTCAAGCTTCTGGACTGGAAAGGATACGGCATTAACATCAATGGCGAGTACGAGTACATCACTCAACTTCGATTTGCCGACGATATAGTCCTTATGGCTGAATCGCTATAGGACCTAAGCACTATGCTCAATGACCTCAATAGTGTCTCCCGACGGATAGGTCTTAAGATGAACATGGACAAAACAAAGATTATGTTTAATGTCCATGTCACACCTAGGCCGGTAGTTGTTGGGAGCACTAAGCTCGAAGTTGTTGACGAGTATGTTTAGCTGGGACAAATAGTCCGACTAGGTAAGTCCAACTTCGACCGAGAGGTCAATCGACGGATTCAACTCGGCTGGGCAGCGTTCGGGAAACTACGACACATCTTCTCGTCAGACATACCTCAGAACCTCAAAACTAGATTGTTCAACCAGTGCGTGTTGCCAGTGACGACTTACGGATCTGAGACGTGGTCCTTCACTGCTGGCCGTATAAGGAAGCTCAAAGTACTCAGCGAGCTATGGAGATGGCTATGCTCGGCGTTTCTCTGTATGATAGACTTAAAATTTAGTATGCTGAAGTGGCAATGGGCCGGCCATATAGCTCGAAGAACCGACAACCGATGGGGAAGAAAGGTTCCCGAGTGGCAGCCTCGTACCGGCAGGCGAAGTGTAGGGCGTCCCGCCACTAGATGGAGTGACGACCTGGTAAGACATGCAGGAAGTCGATGGATGCAGGTGGCTCAGTACCGTGCTTTGTGGCATTCCTTAAGGGAGGCCTATGTTCAGCAGTGGACTTGTGAAGGGCTGTAATGATGATGATAATGATGATTTACTTCTAAAACTTTCTCTATAAACAGTCGCAAATCATTTCGAAGTTATACGAGCTTTATAATGAAAGATCATAAAAAAGTAGTTAGTAGATGGGTTAAACAATATATAATAAAATACCAAACATAATTAAAGATCTTCCTATGCAAACATTTAAAAAAAAAATTATACCAGTGGCTTCTTCAAAATACATTTTACTTAGTAAATGAGTTTTTAAATTACTGATGACAACTTTTTATAGGACTATAGCTCATAATTGACACTTTTTGTTATTAACTGACATGGTATATAATATTGTTTAATTTATTTTTCTTTGTTTGTTAATTATATTCTTTTTTATAATTTTACTTTTGATATATTTAGGTTCATTGGATGGATTGTTTGTTGTCGCTAATTTAACGATTTAATCAT